ACTTAGATATTAATTGAAATTATTAATAAGGATTTTTCTAGTATGTAGGAAGATAAATTTTATTTTAACAAAAATTAACAATTTTCATTAATATTTATTAATAAATCTAATTTTATATGAAATTGATAAAGACAAAAAAAAAAGAATCATTTTGCATATATAAATGCAACCGATTAATAACGAGAATTGACGAAAGTTTTTAACTCAAATACTTAAATAAATGTAGGAATAGTAATTTTAGATATTTATTTTACAATAATTGATGCAACTTTCTAGATTGTCTCTATTAGCAAGACGAATGGAAAGATATCTATCAAGTGCATCTCAAAAAGTAGATAAAGATGGAGAAAATCAAAAGTTTAAAAAAGAGATTCGAGGAACACGTTTTGAAACTGATGCCATTTGTGTTGGACAAGAACCTGAACGATGGTCAGGTCAACCTGTTGTGCCACCTATATCAATGGCAACAACATTTAAACAATTAGAACCAGGCAAACCTATTCTTTATGAATATAGTCGATCTGGAAATCCAACACGACAATGTTTAGAAGAATGTTTGGCTTCACTTGAAAAAGCTAAATATGCATTAACATTTTCATCAGGTCTTGGTGCAACAACAACACTTATGTTTTTGCTTAAATCAGGTGATCATATTATATCAATTGATGATGTTTATGGTGGAACTGGACGATTATTTAGGTTTATCTGTTTTTCTTTTTTTTTTTGTTTTGATGAGAAATCATTTCGAAATAGTTTTTAACTTCTAGATGTTGTATGAGTCAAATGGGTATTGAAAGTTCATTTATTGATATGTCAACAGATCCATCTTCAATTACTAATCATCTTAAATCAACTACACGTCTTGTATGGATTGAAACTCCAACAAATCCATTACTTAAATTAGCTGATATTGAACGTATATCTACTATTGTTCATCAATATGATCCGAAAATAATGGTTCTTGTTGATAATACATTTGCAACATCATATTATCAACGTCCACTTGAACTTGGTGCTGATCTTGTTTTACATTCATTAACTAAATATATGAATGGTCATTCCGATGTTGTTATGGGTAGTTTAATGATGAATGATGAAGAACTTTATAAACAACTGAATTTTCTTCAATATGCAATGTAAGAAAATTGGTATATGTATATATATATTTTTTTGTTTTCGGAAAAAAAATTTTTCCTTTAGTGGTGCTGTTCCATCACCATTCGATTGTTATCTTGTTAATCGTGGTCTTAAAACATTAGCTATACGAATGAGACAACATATGACATCAGCTTTACGTATAGCTAAATATCTTGAACATCATCAATATGTTGAGCGTGTTATTTATCCAGCATTAGAATCTCATCCACAGTATGATTTATATAAAAAACAAATGTCTGGTTTTAGTGGAATGATTTCTATTTATCTTAAAGGTGATGAAGTTGAAAAAAGTCAACGATTTTTAAAACATCTTAAAGTTAGTTAAATTTTCTATAAGAATAAAATAAAATAAATTATTCTTTTATTTTTTTTTTTTTTTTTTTTTGTAGTTATTTACAACAGCTGAATCACTTGGAGGTTATGAATCTTTGATTGAGCTTCCTGCTATAATGACACATGCAAGTGTACCAGAAGAATATCGTCGTCAATTAGGTATTACTGATGGTCTTATTCGAATATCTGTAGGACTTGAAGATGTACAAGATTTAATTAATGATATTGAAAGTGCTCTTCAATATGCATTTTCAACTACAAATGATAAATGAAAACAATCGTTTCTTTCTTTTTTTTTTTTCTACTTATAAAAAACAGATTTTGCTATATCTATTTTTAATTAAACATAAAGTCTCAAGAAATAAATACATCTGCAAAATAAGAATTATTTTTACTATTAATTAAAAATTATTCTAAAGTCACATAATGCATCAAATAATTAATCTAAATCATATTTTACTAAACAATAGAATATTTTTTTTGAATAGTATATGATTTATTTGTTCACTTTGTTTAATAATACAATACAATAAAGACGCTTAAAATGGTTTTTAATTATGAATAGATTTTAAAATATTTATGAATACTATATAATACTCTTATTTTACTTTTTTTTTTTTTTTCTAAATTATGATGCACGTCATTACTAAATCTAGATAATAACAATTTTTGTTTTTTTCATAGTAGTAGCATGTTTTGTTTTTTTTTTTCTTTTTTGTTTTCATTTAAGCTTCACATTTTTAATTAATAAGTAAAATCATTCTAGTAGAATTATGATTTACTTTGAAATTTATAATTAGAGATAAAAATTCTCTTAGTAAATAAAATCAATTTAAACATGAGATTTAGATGAATTTATCAAAAAAAAAAAAAAGAAGATCCTTATCCATCATTCGAAGATACGCATCAGCATGACAGGAAGGCGTTTTGACAGATCAATGTTATCAAAAAATAATTATTGTATTTTTTTTTTCTCCTCCTCACTAACATGTCAAAAGAAAATTCTTCATACTGTCATCGACAATTTAACAGATAAACAAGCAACAGATCTTGAAACATGATCAACTGCATTGCATCCTGTTTGTTAGTTATATATATATCATTAATATCGAAACGATTTACCAGTGTATAGCTGACTAGTGAGTCGATTTGAAAATAAAATTGACAAAGCTTTACGGAAATTGTATATAGACACACACAAAAAAAGAGACCGACCATATATGATTGAGAGAAAATGGATTTATTTCCGCTCAAATAACACCTCAACAACAGTTCAAGTTAATCCTTTTTCTTTTCTGTCTTTGCTTTCGGTAGTTACACTTTCCTATGACTATCTACTCTAGCAAAAACAATAATGCTACATATAAAGAGGGAATGAGAGAGAGAGAAAGGGAGGAAACCTGAAAAGCAGATGCAGAATGAGTAAGTAAAAGTTGTCTGTCGTCGTTTTTTTTTTTTTTTTTTCCTCTCATTTGCCTTTTGTTTCTTCATCAAGTATCATATATATGCTTTCTATAACGATAGGATTTTGATAAGACTAGTTTTATAGCAATGAAGTCAATGATGATTGTCGTAGAATTTGGTGTAATTAGTCTGAAGGGACTTCTTATTTCAAGTAATACACAATATATGTTTGTAGGTACGTATAGATATATAATTAACTCTTTTCTTTTTTTTCTTCTGATGATTACTTTGGATGTCGGCATTCAAGTCGGGCTTCTTTTCTATACTCAGTTTTTTCTATTAAAAATTGATAGGCGTCAGGTTAGTAGCTAGCATGATATATAGTTTCATATATGCTACTTGATTTTCATCAGGAAATAAAATGTGTGTCATATTTTTTCTTAGTCATTTTAGTATTTTCTATTTTCTTTATTTTTAGAAAGAAAAAAATCTAAAGAAATGTTTTTTTAACCATTTAGATAATTACAGATAAGTGTCAATGTATGTTGATATTTTATAAAACTGGATGATGAACAATCTTACAACAGAAATGTCTTTGACGACTAATATTTTTCGTCGATATTTGTTAGGAGAATCATTGAAAAGTATTCTTATTCGTTTAACAGTTATATTATCAGCTATTATTGTTGTATGGTCTGGAATAATGGTTGCTTTAATCATTCATATGAAATGTCAACGATCAAAACAAATGATTAAAACATCGATTCCACATCATCATTTATATGATAGTAGTTTAAGTTTAACTAGAAAAGTATCAACTCGTTCTAAACGTAATCGTCGTTTTGACTCATCATCATTATCAACATGTTGCTATTCGATTTGTCATTTTCTATCACAAATTAAACAACATTGTATTTTTTGTTCATCATCATCATCGATAGATAATGAAAATTCTAAAAATCGATTATCACCAATAACTAAACGAAAACAACGAATAGAATCTATATCAGTAAATTCTTGTTCAAATTCGCATAACGTTCAAATTGTTGTTGAAGCCATGACCAAACGATCATTAAATCGTAATCATAATGCAGCTAATATAGGGAAAAAAATTTCATTATATCGGGAAACAGATAGCTCAAGTGGTGATGAATTAAAAATTTTTCATCCATTTGATAATAATCAAAAACATCCAATTAAAATCAATTCAAATGCATCAAATTTTGTTCAACTAGTAGTTTTAATTTAAAAAAAAAAAGTTTATTTTCTTTTTCATTAATATTTATTTTCTTATAGATAGAACCAAAAGATTATATCCATTGTCCTTCTATTTCATTGCCAAAAAATGGAAATACAAATGATTATCAAACAACAACACATGTACAAAAACTTCATAAATATAATACAAAAGTGACTCTTGCACTTAATCCACATACTCGACGTTTATCAAATACAAATATAAATTCTCATTGTCTACTAACAAGTACAATTCCAAAACAACAACTACAAGAACAACCACAACGTAAATCATTATTAGTAATTTCATCAACACTAGAACCAAGGTTTGACAATGATCGTAAACGGAGTCATTCATTATTAGATGATCCAACAACAACAACAGAAGGAAGTATAACATCAAGTTCAAAACATATACCATTAGTAATGATTACTGATACCAGTTCATCAAATACAAATATTGTCGAACTTGAAACATTTGAAGATAAAAAACGTTCAGTTGATGATATTGAAAGACTTTTATCACAAGAATTACGAGCAACATATCGACCAAGACATTCAACATAAATTATGCTAGTATATTAATTGTAAATTACTATATTAATAAGATTTGAATGTGTAAATTAACTGTGATCAATATAAATTAATCTAATTAGGTTTAAATGCAAAAAATACGGTGCAATATTAAATATCAACAAGCCAAAAAAAAAAACATATTATATTAACTATATTTAGCAACCTACATTGATGACATGTTGTACAGATTAAGCCATATAACTTGTTGAGTGATGATTGATTGAGTGAAATCAAATAGACATTAAGCATATTTATATATATATTTTTTTTTTTTGTTTTTGTTTGGTACTCAGCTAACTTAGAAGGACAAGTCAATATATATACATATATATATATATATATTTCTTCTTGTTTTTTTAATTAACTTTTATTTTCTATTCGATCCTTTTAAGTCTCACTTATCTATGACTGAAGTATTTTTTTTTCTTTTTTTGACATCAAGAACAATACAAAGGAAGTTTTATTATAATGAGTGGATTGATTATATTTTTGTTCCTGAGTATAAGATTTCCTTTTTTTTTCTACATTTACGTTATATGACTTAGCATTATTATTTATGAAAAGAAAGAAAAATTATTGATTGTTCTTGAATTTTGAACAAAACATAGCTAGTGATAACATCTTAATTTTACTAAAAAATTAAAACTTAAAATATAAACGATAACTGCTTTATAGAAGTAACTATTTTTTGAAGTTAAAGTGGCATCCCTGAATATGATAACTATATGGTGTTTTATCCGGATTGAATGGTTCTTTTTTTATGAATAAAATCATTGAGATATGCTTGTAATAAATCAATAATTTATGAAATTTCAGTATTTGAAATATATTCATTGGAGTTCATATGTGTTTTTTTTTTATTGAAATAGAAATTTAATAAATACTTGAAAAAAGATGATGATATATGAATGTTTTATTCAATATTATTTTCTCAATCTTAATGACATAACTTTGTTGTATTCATTGTTCAATTCAATCTTTTTTTTTTTGGTTTTCTTTTTCTTCAATCAAATATGCTATCTTGAAAACAATCTATATTAACATATATGAAGAAAATCTTAGCAAATATGTGTGAAATGGTTAATGTGTTCGCAATTTTTCTGTTCCGATAGTTTATTAAATATTATTTATATGTAATTTTTTTTTTCTTAGATATACATGAAATTCCATCAGCAACAAAATGTCGTTTTGTTCTAGTGCAATCAAATTATAAGTAGATGAATAAATATTTTGATATTAATTGCTGATAATATTCACTTACGTGATTCCATTCATCAAATGAGAAACTTAGATTATTCTTGATCTTAAGATGGACTAATGAGAATATGTTTTGGAAACATGCTAATGGTATTATTTGATTCTAGATAAATATTTGATTGTGTAGAAAACGAATGTATAACACACACTATGAAATTGTTTTATTTATCATTTTTTATTTTCATATTTTCGATATTGAAAAATCATTTTGAATACATGCGAACGTTAAAAAAAAACCAAGACATTTTAGTGATGTAAATTTCTGAATATATTATTTTTATTAAATTTGATTTAATGCTTGAAGCAGCACAATCTGGTTTCAAATAAATTATTCACATGGAAAAGAAATTATATAGTCTTGACGTATTCATAATTATATTAGTATCGACAGAAAAAAAATAATTCATTATGAATATCAGTTCTTTATAGTGATAGTTATTTTCAAAAAGATCAAATATAAACTTGTGAATTTCTACTATCAACTTGATCTATGCTAGTGATCTTCGTTTCGGCAACCATTCTTTTCATTCATTTTTTCGTGTATATATACTACATGAAAAGATATTGCAAGCATCATCTTCGGATATTGCTGATAGCTTGGTCATCGAAATGTAGACTACTGAATTTCGGCGAAATGCTTACTGATCATTAGAAATCTATTTTCAGTATGATTTATTTACTAAAAAAGAAGATTTAATTTAAATTATCCTATTGCAATTCGATTATGATGATTTGAATGATTAATAAATATCTTATATATTCGGTGTTTTTTTAGCAATTTTTCATTAGACATATTATTCAGAAACATTTCAAATCATATATATTGATAAATTAATTTATGTTTGTCTTCAACAATAACATCTTAATTAAATTCAAGAGTTTCATAGTTTATTTTTATTAAATTTCTTAGATGATGGATTTATGTAAGTTTAAATGTGAAACAAAGTGATCACATGATAAAAATAATTTAATCATCAACTTAAGAACTGTTGTTTCCGACAATTGATCGGTCAATTTTAAAAAATGACCAGCCAACTGATTGGTCTAATCGGCGTTGCTGTTTCAAAGTGTCTCTATCAAGTTTTCTAGCATTTCGGCGACCGGTGAAAAATGCAGTGCAGTTTGATGAGAGAAGATCTGTATTGTCGTCATCTTCAATGAAATCTATAAAATTTTGTCGGTTTTTAATGGCTTGAGCCAATGATGCATTGGATCGAAGACTGGTGATCAACTGTCGATTTTGAGCAAGATATGATTGAGCCAATGAGTTATTAGCGCATACTTTTGTCATCAATCGATCCTGATTGCCATTACCATTTGTTCGATTCCAATTTCGTCGCCTGTCTTGTCCTCCATTATCAGGTCCACGATTACCACCAGATCCGCGAGATGGACCACGATGGCATGAAGCAAGAGTCACACATACCTATACAAAGAAGATAAAGTAAAGATTGATGTCATATTAAATTTAAAAAAGAACTTACCACAAGAACGATAAGGACGAGAAATTTAGCCATATTTTTGTACCTTTTACTTGTATGTGACAATAAGACACTTTCTATCGATATTTATATGCGAATCAACACTGCAGAACGTCATAGAAAGCTTCAGGAAAAAATACTAAGAAAAAAAGAGTATATTTTTTTTTCTCTAATTATAATAAACATCGAAAGTAAAACAAGCATGAATAATTTGTTTTTCTCATTGGTCTTATTACTCATTTTCATATTTATGCCACTTCATAGTTTAGTCTGCCACAAAAAAAAAACATCGTGTTTGCACTTTAGGTTCTACATTGCCATTTATCGAAAGTAAATAAATTTTTATTTCATAAGAAAAAAAAATAATGTTGACAAATTATTTAATTTTATGCAATGCATAGCATCTATATGGATTAATCTTCCATGAACTGGATAATGTATGCACTTTATTCTAATAAGAATAAATTTCAATTTATTCTTCCATGTAAAAATTAATAATATTTCTGAATATAAAATTATTTATTTTATTTTCTTAAGCAAATTACTTAACCTTGAAAATGATAAAATATTCCAAAGGAAGTATTATTTATTTCATATATTATGTTAATAGAAAACTTGATAATATTCATCAACTGTTATTAATATTTCTTTTGTAATTAGCAAGTTGGAAGAAAAATAAACTTTTCGTCCGATTGCAAATATTTTCTAGGAAATTATACAGAAAAAAACCAAAGATGAATATTAAATCAGACCACTGCATTCGAGGAAATAATAGCTTTAGATGACGATAGATATGAAAAATATGAAAAATTAGTTAAATAAGACTTGTGCTTTATAATAATAATAATTAAATGTTTGAATCACTTATAATCAAAGAATTAAAATAAAAGACAAAATGAGGAGTTCACGAGAAATTAAATTTATTTCGTTTTATATTTATGCTTTTCAAGCTATTATGACATTCATACTTTTCATCCTTTAGTATCTCTTGATTCCATTAGCCTCTTTAGTCCCTTTAGTTCTTTTGTGTGTGGGTTAGATGTGTGTGCGTATGCGTGGATGAGTATGTTTCCTTTACCCATACCCACATCCAGTATATTCAATGGAAATCTAAAATACAATGTTCTCTTGCACTTTGTTTATACGAGTAATGTGTATGTGTACACTTTCTTTTCATCAGAACACTGTACGGAAACCAAGTTTTTCATAATCTAAATAGCAAAAGAAATTAAGTTGACATTTTTACTTTAATGAGAATCAACAATATTGAACAAATGTTTTAGATGATCTTTTAAGCTGAATAAGTTTTTTTCTCGAATTGTTCCAAAAACAAAATGGAATCTATATAAATGGACAGAGAAGAACATGAACTACATTTTATTAACTAAAACTTTTTAAAATCAAATTGTCTATAATATAATGAACCTATTTTTCGACAAAATAACATGTAAAGTTCATGTTAAATACTGTATCATTTTTATTTTCAAATATGACATTCGAGATAATGTCAAGCACTCCAAATCTTTCAGAAAGTGATTTCTCAAAAAACAGAAAATATCTTTTATGAAACTTCCAAATATCTGCCGCTTTATGCAGTTTCCGACACTCCTTCGAATGTGATATTTTGAAAAAAAAAACTATTCATACTATAAAAATATTAATGACTTTACATGAACATCGGGTGTTGTTTATCGTAAAATAGGTCGTATATGGTTCATTTTTTTTAGAATAACTCCAGAAAAAATAACTCAGTTTAAAAGTTCGTTCAAATGAGTTTTGTTCAACAAAAATTGACTATCTCAAATTTAGAAGATTTCTGCTAAAGTTGAATGAATTTAAGAGGAGGTGGTGCGCATTTTTGTGAATTGACGAGCAAAAGAATTCCGCTGGAGAAATACAAAAAATTTTAAGATTAGGAGTGCTTCTACTGGTACTTAAGCAACTAATAAGCGGTAAATACATGTAACAATCTTATCGTTTGACGCGTTTATAAGAAAATAAACATCAGAGATGGGATGGATTGGTGATTTTTTGGAATCGAATCGATCTCATACTTGATAAATATCAGTTTATATTTATTACATAAATTTTAATTTACTACTATATACAACTTATAAAGATCAGGAATTAAAATTTTTGTTTCTAAACAACATGTAAAACAGCATGTATTTCAGAAGCTGCAGATGTTCTGTACATTATATTTCTGATCGGGACACCTGCTATTGGATGTATTGCTTAAAATATTAAAGCAACTTTTTCTCTTCAATAAATTTTCACTATTGATACAAAGCGACATCATTTCGCTTATTTCTTATTCGTTAAAATATCTTATGTGTTATCTCATTCATTCATTCATTCATTCTTAATTATGTCAGTACGTTATTAGTCAGTTTAATATTGTAACTTATTTATTAAATTCTACTCTTTTTTTTTCTCATTTAAACGCTTAATAAGTCAATCAATTAGTTTAAAATAAAATAGGTAATTGAGGAAATAGATTTATTATTGATATATTTAGATATATATGGTTTTTATTTATTTATTTATTTATTTATTTATTTGAAAATATTCATTTTATTTAGACATATTCGATATAAAATGAGATTAAATATAAATATTTAGTTTGTTCTCTGTTCTAATCACGATCATGTACGAAACCACTTGTACTTAAACAAACTTTGTGGCGCACATAATCGTTCATCACGGAACTCGAGAATAACTTTTGGCCTTTTATTTTTCTTTTTATTTATTTCTTTATATTACAGTTAAACCAAAAAATAAAATATGAGCAATAACAATCAACCTAATAAACAGGATTCATCAAATATTTCACCAATGTTTACTATTCCACCATCATCAATGACTTCTATACCACCTCCATCATCACCAGTTCCCTTTGCTACTTTCTATCAATCATATATTCAAGCTGCCGCTATGTATGCATCTCATCAACAACATCAACAACAATTTTTTCAACATATATTTTCTGTACCTCCTCCACCTTTACCTAATTCAAATGTTTCAACTGGAAATCGACCATCATTATCTACAGATAATTCACAAAGAAGAACAACAGGTGAAATGTTTTATTGTTATTTTTTAGTTTCTAATCATAAATTCTTTTTTTGTGTTTTTTAATGAAAGATGTAAGACAAATATCGACTTCAAAAAATGATTATCAAGATCGAAGACGAAATTTTGTTTCTTCATCATCATTACGTGATAATAATAATAAACAAATAGGAAATAAACGTTCATATAATTTTGATCAATCATCTCGTAATGATGATCGAAATATTCCACGTCGTGAACAACCTGTATCACCAGTATCAAAAAGACATCGAATAAATAACAGTATAATCGAAGATGAATATCATGAGTATGAAAATTAATTTATTAAATAATTTTCATTTATTTAAAATGTAAAATTTTTTTTTTCTTTTAGTTCAAGTTCTGATGAAGATATAAATGATGTATCTACAACGAAAATTAAACCACAATATGTACGTACATGTGTATCTGAACTTTATTATCGACGTGATGAACAAGTAAGATTTAGTTTGTTTTTCCTTTTTTTTAAATGTTTATTATTCTGTTGATATTTTAGAATTCTCGTTTAATTCATGCAACACAAAAATTAAAAGATCTTTGTGCAAAATTTCGTTCTGATCTTCTTTTTCAACGTGAAATATTTCGTAAAGAAAATAAAATTTTTGATGAACCTGATCATTCATATATGTTTCATAAAGCAAAACAAATTGGTTCTAATATAAAATCTAATAAATCTCAAATAAAATCCAAAGGTAAAGAAATAAATATTCAATTTTAATTATTTTTGTTTTTTTTTGCTTTCGAATCAGATACATCAAGTGAAAGTGGAGAAGAAGAAGAAGATGATGATGATGATGAAGAAGAGGGCGAAGAAGAAGGTGAAGCAACAGCAGCAAGTTTAGCCAGTGATAATTTACTTACATTAGAAATTGAACGTAAACAACAAGTATCTAATCGTTTACATCCAGAACTTTGGTTTAATGAATATAAACAGGTTTAAGAAGATTTTCTTTGTTTATGTTTTCATATAAGTAGATTTCTAGGGTAATGATGGTCCTGTATGTCGATGCAGTAATGATGATCGTAAATTTGGTATTCGTCATCAAATGTTTTATGGTGAAAAGGTATTCATGAACACATTATTGGAAAGAGTTAAGAATACAACCAAACAGGCTGAGATTTTTACCATAGATGTTTGGAAAGTATTCTCCAAGAGTATAATCAGCTGCTTTCATTTTTTTGCTTTCGTGTTCGGATTTATAAGATTCTAAAAGTCAAATGCTTGATTTTAGCTTCGAATCTTTACGTATTTTTCTCATAAAAAAACACAGACAGTAAGATATTCGAAAAAGCTCAAAAGTCCCTGTGAGATATAGTCTTAAGTATCTCTAAAAATATTTTCAGTCCAATTGGACAAAACATGATGATGGTTGTGATGCACGAGGATGTGATCCTATGAAAAACTAAGGTTTCACCGTCAAAATTCACTTTGAAATTTTTTTCCTCAAACAGATGTCTACTTATGTTAGGTACTCTTTCTGTAGTAAAAATTTCAGCCTTGAACCCTTGTCGAGAATCGGAAGTGGTCATAACAAAAAACGAAGAATACCCTTAAGTGACAAATCATATATAATATCCACATCAGAATCAAAGAGGGAATGACGTGCAATCTTAATACATTAACAGCTAGCAATCTATGATTTTCAGCAATCGACAAAGGAAAACTTTGGACGTCCTTTTGCCTGATACTATATTGGTTTTGACTTGTGTTTCTGATAGAGAAACTTCAGATCTATAGTTCAAGAAACTATTCAGATGAATATCTTCTCATATCAGTACGTTGAGCAAATGAAATTGCATATCTATTTGGTTAAATTATTATATAGAATTCTTTTGATTTTAAGCAAATTTTCTGACTTTTTAAATGAAATACTGTTTTCATGCATAGTTTTTGAAGATTTTGAGAAGATGATGAATTTTAAAATAATTTTGTCTTATATAGTATCAGACAAAAGACGTTCGCAGTTCTTCTATTTTGATTTCTAAAAACCACAGGTCATTAGCTGTTGCCGTTGTCAATGATGTTGATCTTTTTCTATATATATTTCTAATAAAATACATAGAAAATGATTATTTCTTTGTTTAAAGCCAATAATACCATGTGAAAAATGGAATAATAATGCTGGTCGATTGTTTCATTATCGTATTACTTTAACACCGGAAACAAATTTTGTTGTAAGTTTGTCTAGTTTTGTTTTTATATGAAAGAAAACGAAATACATATTTTATTCATTTAGTTAAAAGAACCAACAGTGATAACTTATGATGATCATGATTATATATTCGAAGGTTTTTCTGTTCTTTCTCATGTATCATTAGCTAATGTAAATAAAAATTTTAATTTTTGTTTTTTTTTTTGTTAAATAAAAATAAAACATTTATATAATATTTCTAGGTGAATGATTGTATTGTTGTTTATCATAATATTGATTATGCAATTGGTTTAGAAGAAGAATCTCCATTAGAACATTATACAATCGAAGAACTTGATCTTCTTCAACAATATCTTCTTATTGATGTTTGTGAATTATATGATATTCAATGGCGGCCATTAAATAATAATAATGATATATCAACTTGTACATGTTATCATTTTTTTCCTCGTTTTGCACGTATTTTACCTGATAATGGAAAAGAATTACTTCATCCAGCTGAACAAATACAATATTTTCTTAAACATCTTAAACCTTTAATGCCTAATGATTTATATTCACGTTGTAAATCAATGTCTGTTGATGCATGGGATAAATATGTATCGAAAGTACAAGGTTCAATTGTTTGGTTTCCAAAACATCGTCCAGGTGCTATTAGACTCGATCAACTCGATCGAGAAAATAGTTCTTATCCAGTTATTGTTCATTTTGGTAAGATTAAAAGTTATATAAAATTATTTTACAATCATAAAACATAATTCTCATAGGGATACACAACAGTGTCGATAATAACTATTTAGTAAATATCAGCTAGGAAGAAGAGAAGAAGTTACCGATACTAGATAGAGGCAAATTTGTCTATTGAATTCTTTTTTTGTCAGAAAAAATAATGGTATTTTATAAAGTTTGATCAAAGATTTGCGGGTTCAAGATCTATAGATAAGTGTAACGAAAATATCGCAAAATGGACTATACAGTTGGATTTATTGATTAAAATAATCTTTAATCAAACTTATTAGTTACTGATGAATGATCTTTCCTAATATTGGCAAATACTAGTGATGGATAAAATGATGACTGACCATCATCATTATTGCCTTGAAGTTAACTTTGAGGAAAAATACGATGAATAGTATAAATATTTCCAATGTAAAGTTTTTATGATAATTCATATCAATGGACTTCAAAATTTTTGATTTTAGTATTTTTATCAAGATATAGTTGACTTTTTTTTGTAGGTAGAAGCATTTCAGAACATCGAAGATCATCTGATTTTTTAATAATAATTAATGTTTCCTTTAATTATATTAAAATTTAGTCAAAAATGATGTACAGTAAATTCATTTTATTTCTTTTTTTGTCCGACACATTTTATTGCTGTATATGATTAAAAAGCTTTTAGTACAATTTCTATAGGATTGAAATGTGAAATACAATGGAGCTGCTGACATTGTTAAAGAGAGAATTCATTAATAAATGTTTTGATTAACGAAATATTCCCTACTGTTAATCGTAATATATTATTGTGAATGTGAAGGAATAGGAAAAAATAGCAATTAGAAATTCAGCCATCAATGTTGCGAGTATGTCTGTCATGATTTATAAGGAGGAAATGGCAGTATTGACGAGAAAAGTCTCTCTACTGATAAATCGCTTTTGCGTCAATACTAAATATATTCTGTAGAACCAAATGAGCTATGAATATCCTGAAAACAGCTCAGCTCCTTAGCTTATTGCTCTTGATGAGAATAGTTTATTGTAAAAGTTTTAGATCTTTTGATTTTCTTCTATCCTGAAACAAGAACATAGAATTTACTATTATATATGATTGATTTAAAAAACACGCTATTCCCATAATTGTATCTTAGGATAAGAACAGTAGCATTCAAAAAACAACCTATTCTTGTTAAGGTCTGTCTTTATGCACAAGGTCCAGTCAAAGTTCGGAAATCAGTTGTTCAGGATCACGGCATTCGTATAAATAATACAATAAAACTATAGTATCTTAGCAGCAATAAGATTTATCAATTTGAGTGTTTCCTTTATGAGATAATAGTTTCATATATAAAGCTAAAAGTATCAATTCTCTATTATTTAATATCAATAAAGAATAGATATCATTGAGAACTAAATTTGAAGAAGAGAGTTTGTTTTTATTTTATTTTTAGGTATTCGTCCTGCTGTTTTATCCATTCAATATAATCAAGAATATCGTCAAGCATATAAATCTTATTTAAAAGTATTTTTTCTTTTAAAAAATCGTACACCAACTGAAGAAGATAAAGCAAATTTACGTGATAAAGAACAACGTTTAAAACAAATTGTTGCTAAACATGCTGAACAATTAAAACGTGAAATTGTTGTAGAAATATCATCTGAATATGCATATCGTACTGGTTTTAAATCTGATATAATTCAACGTTCATTATTATTATCATCATTACATGATCATTTACGTTTTCATCAATCATTAACTGAATTAGAAAATCAATTAGTTGGATATCAATTTCATAATCGTTGGTTAATGCAATTAGCATTAACACATCCAAGTGGAAATTATGTTTTACATAATAATCTTGGTCCAAATCCAGATCATGTTAAAAATACTTTAGTATGATTGTTTTAAAATTTCTGTTTGTTTTTTTTTTTGTATATTAATTATTTCGTTTTATTTTCTAAAGGCAAATTGTCGAATACGAAATACAGTTTATGGTGATCGAAAACAATTATTTCGACCAATAACTAAACGAGGAGTATCAACATTATTTAAAATAATGGCTAAAAAAGCTAAAACATGTGAACATATATCAGAAATAACAAATTATGAACGATTAGAATTTCTTGGTTAGAAAAAAAAAAGAAATTATTTATTTATTTTTTTTATTTACATAATTTTCTTGAAATATATTTAGGTGATGCTTTATTAGAATTTCTTGTATCAATACATTTATTTTTTTTATTTCCACAATTTGATGAAGGTCGTTTATCAACATTTCGTGTTGGATTAATTCAAAATCATTTTTTTACATCATTAGCACGAAATCTTTGTTTACAACATTTTATTATTTATAATCATGGACCAGATTTATGTTCACATTCTGCACTTAATCATGCATTAGCAAATTCATTTGAAGCATTAATGGGTGCAATTTATCTTGATGGTGGATTGGTAAAAAAGTTCAGTTATGAAAAAGAAAAAAAAAAGTCAAACGATTTTTCTTGTTTTATCTTTTAGGCTATTGTTGATAAAATTTTATCGAAAATTCTTTTTTATCAAGATAAACAGTTAAGTTATATATGGGATAATTTACAAGAATATCCATTAAAAGTTCAATATCCAATTAGTGATCGTCATTTAATTGAACAAGTACCTTTATTAAAACAATTAACTAAATTTGAACAAGATATTGGATTAGAATTTCAACATATTCGAATGTTAGCACAAGCTTTTTGTACAAGACCAATACCACAAAATGATTTAACTATTGAAGATAATGAAAGATTAGAATTTCTTGGTAGGATAAAATAAATTCTATATGAAATTTTCAATATCCGAAAAGTATTTATTTTGTCGATTTAAGATTTCATAATTATGTTACCTAGGGATGTATAGTGTTAGTGTAAATACTGAACATTAAGTCATCGACATAAGGTCCGTTAGGATACTGGTGTCAGTGCGCACTAACTACGATATTTCAGTGGTCAGTATACTGGAACTGCACATCCCTACAGTGTTATCATCTGTATCTCTCTATCTTAATAGTAATAGAAAATTTTATGAACTATTATATATAAATACATAAGAAATGATATTGTAAAGTAATGAATAAGGAGTGTGTTCAGACGAATTTGAACATTTAAATCTATCTTGGATTACAATTTTATATAGACTGACTTTTTCCAAGATATTTTCATTCTATGTTTTGACACATATTTATCATAATTAACCTTATACAAGTGAAAATCTATAGTCAAATTATATTGACTTCTTTAACCCATGGAATGTACAGATGTTTGTTATGATATGTGATAATAATCATCAAGTATTTTGAATAATTTTTGTGATAGAATTACGATAGAAAGCAGCAGTTTTGACTATCAGAAAAAGATGATGAAAACGCATCAAATTGTATAGAACAAACATTTCTTATCGAGCTTTTATTATTATTATTATATGAGTTGAAGAATAATGAAATATGTCTTAAGTATTTGAACTTTCAATCGATATATTTGTACACAATTTACTAATTACAACATGAAACAAATCGAAGTTTTTAGTTTGATATACATACGATTGTTTTAAATCTAGTATTGTATCTAATTTAGGTGATACTGTACTCAATTTTGTTGTAAGTGATTATTTATATCGTCATTTTCCTGAACATCATGAAGGTCATTTATCATTACTTCGTTCATGTACTGTTTCTAATCCAACACAAGCTGTGATCTATGATGAATTAGGTATGCAAGAATATGTAGATTATGTTCGTGAACAACTTCGTATAACAACACCAAAATTAATTGAAAAATCTTTAAAAGCTAAAGCAGATGTATTTGAAGCATTTATAGCTGCTTTATTTATTGATCAAGGTTTAGAATCAATTTATGCATTTTGTCGTGCAACTATATTTCCACGTTTACAAGATTTTATATCAACACAACATTGGAATGATCCAAAATCAAATTTACAACATTGTTGTTTAGCATTACGTGATCCAAATGATCGTAATCCACCATTACCTGAATATCGAGTTTTAAAATCTATTGGATCATCAAATAATGTTCAATATAAAGTTGGTGTTTTTTTTCGTAAACAACGTTTATCTGTTGGTATTGGACGATCAATTCATGATGCTGAAATGGCTGCTGCAAAAAATGCATTGGAACAACATGCACAAATGTTTCCATTATTAAATTATCAAAAATCAGTTTTAGCTTCGTCAAATCATTATTATAATTCGAGACGTAGACTAACAACAACAACAATATCAACAAAAACAGGTAATAAAAATGAGAATAATCGACAACAACCATTTTCATTACGAAATGTTAAAACAAGAGGTAATGTTTCATCAATGATTATTACATCGGCAAAAGTCACAAGTTAGATAAAATTATTTGGTGCTTTTTCTCTAATCTTTTTTTTTTGTTTGTTTGCTTGTTTCTTATTCTTCGGCAGTGTTTTTGTGTATTGCAATCTGTTTTTTTTTTGAATATTATTAAAAAAAAAAGAAGCAAAGTCTGTAAGAAAGAGAAATATCGGCATTCCTTTTTAAAATCTTGATCATATTCATATTTGTTTCTTTAATGTAAGACAAATGAACTGTATAATAAAGAAAATAAATGATAAATGTTTATAGGAATGCTTATAGTTTTTGCAAAAGTTTATTTGTAAATGGATTTATATTTGCTATGATATGTGTTGAATACGAACTATTTTCAACGTTGGATTGACATATATGTTAGCGTTCAATCTCAGATCGGCCTAGGCCAATCTAGGATCTCACTTTGAACGGATGTTGATTCGAGTCACAACATTCAAAAAGATCGAATAGATCCAATTGCCTTATTAATGATGACCCTCATAGTACAATTGACGAGTTTCAAGCGCAAACTGATCTGAATCATGGTGCCATTCAACAAGTAATCGTCGATCATCGTAAACTTAAAAAGATCACGGCTAATTATATATCGTAATAGTTGACATTGAGAGTGATCATGAAAGATACGGTCTGAATTACAGGTCGGATAGGTCATTCTTCGTCTTCAACATCTTTTCGACCTTCACGAAACTATTCATATTATATTTCAACTGCTCCGAAAGACGGAGTCTGACTGTCGAGAACAAAATATAGTTTATCATGAATAACTCTCGCTTGAATATATATGGTACAGTATGGGATTTATTGTAGAAGCGACAGTTTTACTTATCTAACAAAATCAGATGTGAACAACTTTGATCGAAATTCTTATATTATTGTACCAACTGAAGAATAGTAAAATAATATATGGAAAAAAGTTCACGACAATTTTTCTATCGATATATTTTTGCAATTACTTGAGCAATTTTAACGAATAAATGGTTCTTTGTAGATTGTAGAGCTTTTCACACTGCATCTTGTGACATTTTTTGTTTTTTAATATAATTTATTAAGTGATGGAAAATTGAAATGCAAAATATGACTGTTTAATCCAGGGCTGGCCCGACCGGGGATTGTTGGGGTTGTGACAACCCCCAATCTTCAAAATTTTCCATTTTTTCCCAAGAAAATCGAAAAGTTTTCTTGTATTCTGTTAGGAAAAACGATGCTACGTCCCCTACAAAACCAACCACAACCCACCAAAATTTCGGTACAATCCCCCAATGTTGGCTGACTCGGGTCAGCCCTGATGGACTAGATGGTAATTATATTTAGATGATGTCAATTTAGTGTAAATCTCCTATTAACTAAATTGAATAAAAACTTAATGATAATCAATATATTTTTTTTTCAATAAATATCATAAGAGAATCATTAATTAAAAAGCTAAGATTAAAATGAAATTTTTGGATAATTCGAATTTAAAAAAAAATAATTTATGATTTTTTTTAAAGAAAAAAATGAATTAAATTCGATTTCGAATTCAATTATATATTACTTAAATAAAGAATAAATATAAAATGGATTTCTTCGTGTATATTCTTTGAGTTTTAATTATCGAAAAATTAAAGAAAAAGCATAATAGAACAACTAGATAGATTGTTTCTCTAAATATAAATCAAAAGAAACGATCAAAATATATATTTATATAACAAGTAAAGTTTTTCTTTTAAAAAAAAAGTCCAAAGACAATGAATTGAAATAAACATTTGACAAGTTTTATCTTGTTCATGTTCAAATGTCAAATAATAATCGAAATAATAACATAAATATATCTTTAAAAATAATTCAAAGTTATGGAAGAACAAAATGTTGAAGTGATTCGTTTAATAGTGTTGAAGTGTTTGTCAATTAAGATCACCTATTTGAGAAGAATAAAGACGTTTACGTATTTGATTTCGACAAATTTGTTATAATTTCAATTGTATTGAAAGTATTATTGTTATTGTATCAATTTCATCTGTTACTTTATCAAAACGACTTCCTAAATCTTCTGTAAATAATTCTACAAGTTCATGATCTGTTAATATTAATTGCTCATTTTCATACATAACATTAATTGAATTTGTGGTATGATGGAAAAAGGCAGAAAGGAAAAATATCGAAAAGAAAAATAATACAAATGTAGATGGATAGAAATGCTGAAAACGAGAGTATATTGAAGTACAAATCTCCCTCACCCTCATCTTCAATCTTACATGTTCATCTTCATCTCATATTCTTGTTTTCGATATTTTTTCCTTTCTACATTTTTCCTTTCTGCCTTTTTCCATCCATTCAGATGACGATAATACTAGTACAATAACTTGTACAGATTGAACAAATAAACAAAAATTAACATTTGAAAAATTTGATACAGCTATGATTTTATTAGATGAATTTGCACCGATCAGTATTATTTGGTTACTATTAAGAATTGTTTGTTGTATTATATGTATTATTTTAATACTTTGTACATGTTGTCTATAGGAAAGAATTGTATTAGCTTCAGGTTAGAATTAAGATTTGTAATACAATTGTTTAAAAGCATTGTTTTTTGTTTTGTAGCTCTTATTAAAGAAGCCAGTAAAGCTATTAGTTATGCATTAACAACTTTAATTTGGCCTATACTTACATTTATTCTGAATATTAGTTTTATTATTTTGGGTATTCTAGTTCTTGCTTATTATTCAACTTTGGTAAAAAAAAAGAAAAAGAAAAAGAAAATAAACTTTTCATTTTTAAATCTATGATTTATTAATTTTAGGGACGATCTATTTATCTAATAAGTTGTAATCAAGATTTTGGTCAATCATGTCAAAATGAATCTTCTCGTACATATGTTATATCAAATGAATCAAAAAAATTAAATAGTCGTTCAATACCTAAAACATATTTTGATTATAATGAATGAGATAATTGTAATCCAGATAATTTTTCACAATTAAATTGTTCAATAGATCGTATTCGATGTGTTTATGTATCATATGGTTTTGTTGATGAAACATTTGAAAATTATTTCAATACAATATGGAGCCATCGTTTATCTCAATTTTTTAGTCAACATTCATGGTTGATTAATATTTTTAATATATTTATTATCTATTGGTTATTAGCATTAACAATTGCACTGGAAGAAATGGTTTTAGCATGTACATTTGCTTGTAAGTTATATAGTTTTGTTTTATGAAAAATATGAAGAATGGGAAAAGAAAGTTCCTTTTTTTTTTTTTAGAAAATATAATTATTATCGATTTAAAGAGAAAGAAAAATGATCTATTCAAAAAATGATATGAATATTGAGAAAGATACGAATTTGATTATTTTTGAAATATAGTTATTAAGAAAGATATTAAACTAATGAATTATTTGTTTCAGATTGATACATTAATTTCTCACTAGATTTCATGTAAATTAGAAAGAATAATGGTTACAATTGAGAGATAAATCTGAAACGTTTTTCATTATCAATAGGAATTCGTTATAAGACGAAAATGACATGATTTGTTTCTTCTATGTACTTGTTATGACTTGCATCTTTTTCAGATGCAGTCATAACGATTTCCTCTTTATCTTTTCTTTCTTGCCAATTGTTCTACGGATTTGCCTTTCATTTTCGTTATCTATGAGATCTTTCATCCTGTATATAGCTTTTCGGTTGTTACAAAAAAAAACGATACAGAAATAAACTATAACTTGAATATAGATTTCACACGACTATCGGATGATCTTGGGTAATTTTGTTTCAAAATGTAAACAAAATGTGTTAGAAAATTTATTGTAGAAAATTAGAACAAGCTTAAGTAAAAAATTTTATGCGTCTTTAATCATTCGGTCTAGATGATCCAAAAGACAAGAATTAGAGAAGACTTATGTTTTCGTCTGAAATGATATAATGATTTTTGTAAGATTTTATATACTGAAAAACAAAGTCACACGACAAATTACACATTAGATCAACTCAAATATAAGCATCTCCTTATTCTAGTCCCATGATTGTATTGGATTATGATAAACAATCATAGAATACATAGAAAAAGGAGATGGACTAACTGTAGATATTTAAAAGAAAAAGAACAATATTAGAAGCAACAGTGCTTAGGTTTAACATCTCGCCATTTTTGTGTTAATAAATAGTAACATAAAATCATATCAATATGAGTTGATTTATTTCTGATTAAAAAAAAGTTGAATTAATTAATTGTTGGAAAGAAGAAAAAGATCATCTTGTACAGCCGAACACCGATTGTAACTGAATACTTCATGTAGGCAAAACAAAAAAACAAGCTAAAAACTTCCGAATAATGGGTACCTCTGTAAAGTGAGCACGGCTTGACCAGTTCCGATGATGGTGTCCACATTCGAGAGGTTTTACTGTGAATCCTTTGTCGCAATAGAAGCTCTCAAAGTTTCTATTATGGGATCAATTATTAATACGCCTTGAGTATGGGTATTACCGAAGAGAAGGTACACATTCACACCATATCATGATATTACGAGTAGAAGACATATGAATTTGTTAATCTGTGATGATATTCAAATATCTATTTCTAGACAAAATGGTAGTTATAGAGTACGTAGTGATGACCATGATCTCAGATATCGACGAGAAATAAAAGTGATTTCGAGAGATTATTCTTAATTATGAGTAATGGTTTATTAAAAAACAAAATGAACTAAAATTTTACTGAGAAGTCTTTTTATAATAAGTAATTTAATTTCTTACAAGTTTTTTGAACAATCTAAAAGAAGATTTATTTTATATGTTATTATTGAGAAATAAATCAATTAAATGAAAAATATTGTCATAGTTATTTTCATAAATGTCTTTGTCTTCAAGGTTTATCAATAACATTGCATCATCATTTGGGTACTATTGCATTTGATAGTTCATTTATTGCTATTATTGATGTAATACGAACTTTAATCGATTTAATTAAAGATCGAATGGAAACAATGAATCTTGTTAGTTATGGAAAATGTTGTTTAATATTAATTAAAGGTTGTCTTAGTTGTGTTCGATGTTGTTTTCAATTTTTTTCAAGATATACTTATATTATGGTATAATACTCTTTTCTTTTTAAAATGTTTTTTATTTTGACTATAAAAAAAAATTATTATTCAGACAGCGATCAGTGGTAAATGGTTTTGTTCATCAGCTTTTATTGCAACAAGATTATTATTAAAAAATTGTTTACGTATATTTGTAGTTGATCGTATTTGTGCCATTCTTTTATATATTGGACGAACAACAATCACAGTAAAATCTTTTCATAAATTTTTTTTATTTGGAAGATCAAAAAAAAAACAACTTTTTCTTTATATTCAGATTGGTTCGTGTGTTTTCACTGCTTATATTCTTGATAAAATTGAAACAAATATTAATTTACATTTTTCATGGTTTCCCGTACTTATTATTGGTCTAAGTGTTTATATAAGTTCAGCAATATTTCTTAATGTTTATTTAATAGCATCATCAACATTATTTTTTCTGTGTTTTATATGATTTAGAACTTTCTGATGTTTCACAAATAGAATCATATATAATATCAAATCGTTTAAAAGAAATTTTTAATAAATCAAATGATTTTCAAAAATCTAAATTTCATATAATTAATGATGAATCAATAAGTGATAAAACTGGATCAAAATTTTACTTTCTTTGATAAAATCAACTCGAATGTCTAATTACAAGTTGAACAGGAAACATACAACGGTGAAAGATGTATTGTACGCTCGAAAGAACTTTTACTAATTTTCAAAAGAAAAAAAAAAATAATAAAAGATTATTCTCGACATCCTTTTTTTTCCCGATCATTACATCGTATTATAAAATAAAAAAGAAAAAGAAGACAGTTGTACTTCTTGTTCTATCTACATATGTTTTTTTTTTCATTGGGACAGTTGGTTTGCCCACCAGGACAAGTGAAACAACTGTATATATACATATAGCCAAAAATAGACGAACAGCTTAAGTGTGTCAAAGAGGTTCGCTGAATATACTCAGCAGGCGATGAATAAAAAAAAATAAGACAGCATGTTATAAGAAACAAGTAAATAGTATTCTAAAAAACAACTCATATGATTTAAAACAATAAATTGATCTCATGTCAAAAAAAAAAAACATACATATATATATGTAGATTTTTTTTTTTGTTATTTTGTGTCGCTCACTAGTGCTCATTATTTTTCTATGTGTGTGTCTTTATTCAACTATGCATTCCCTCCAATTAGCCTGACGCTTGTATCCGGACACGACACGATTCACTTTCCTTTTCTTTAACTTTGATTGGCATGAGATGTCAATGCGCGAGACTATGCGCATTGCTCTTTCATCGCCGTTGGGGGCCCTCCCGACTTTCGTCTTCTCTCAACTGAGAGTTTTGTTTCATTTACAAGACAATGTAAATAGAGAATCCGCAATCTAATTCTATTAGTAAAACTTTCTTGTCAAGAGAGAATTCGGTCAATTTGTTGAAGAGATAGGAAAAAAAAAAGGAGATGCTTATAGCAGAGTACTTCAATCATCACATGTGTTCAACTATTTCTTGCGTTTTAATGTTTGCTGAGCACTTGAGATTATTCGCTTGATCAACTAGGATAACTTTTGATGCCATACTGAAATTTTCTTTTTCTTTTTTTCTTTTTTTTTTTGTATTCTTTCCTCTTCTATTATTATTTCATTGGTTGTCATTTATTTCTTTTCAATATAATAATCAACATAATAACCAATAGGAAGTAAAAGCGAGTCTATCTGTTCCGGAGAAGAGAGAAAAAAGAAAGAGTTGAATAGAAAAGAAATATAAAAAAAAAAAAAAGAAAGAAAATAACGAATATCTATTCACTCTTGCGGATGGATGACGAAAGTGTTAATAATCAAGTGCATACCAATAAGGTATGAGAAGGAAAATTGTTAAGTAAGATAATTTATTTTTCATTGATTTCCTCTTTAGTTAACTCAATTACTTTTACTGGATGATATTAAAGATGAACAAGTAAATGTATATAAAGAAAAATTTTCTTAAATTTAATTTTGTTTCTTTTTTTTAAAGCTATTTGAGAATGGTGATGATGATCAAAATCTATATCATATGTGTACTGCATGTAAAATTGCTATAACTGATCAATATTATTTACGTGTTGGTTCAAAAATTTATCATGAATCATGTTTACAATGTGCTATTTGTCAAATAGCACTTGATAAACAACAAACATGTTTTTTAAAAGGTCTACAAATTTTATGTCGACAAGATTATTATAAGTAAAAATTTAACAAAAGTTTTCTTTCTTTCTATATACCTTTGTTTTTTCTTTTATATGAAAAGACATTTTGGTAATAAATGTTCAAAATGTGGTCGACATATTCAACCAAGTGATTGGGTTCGTCGAGCACGTGAACATGTTTATCATTTAGCTTGTTTTGCATGTAATACATGTAAACGACAATTATCAACAGGTGAAGAATTTGCTTTACAAAGTAGTCATGTTTTATGTAAAACACATTTTATTGATCCAAATGAAACAAATGAAGGAAAAGATGGAGGTAAACATATATAAGAAAGAATATTTATTTAATTTTGATTATTTTCCTGTTTTTTTTTTGTTTTTGTCTATCATAAGATACAAAACAAGGTAAAGCTAAACGAGTACGAACAACATTTACAGAAGAACAATTACAAATTTTACAAGCTAATTTTGAAGTTGATTCAAATCCAGATGGACAAGATCTTGAACGTATTGCTCAGATTACAGGTATGAAAAATAAAATTGTTCTTCAATAAAAAATATTTATCATTATAAAAGAGTTAAATATCTTAGAATTTTCTAATAGTTATTTGATTGAAAGTTTCCACTAATTTGTGTCGTTCTAATAGAGTTAGGATTAATGAGAATCAGTTAGAGAAAAAAAAAGAGAGTAGAAATTAATACTGACAATGTAATGAAGTTATAATTACATTTGTGAAATTAGAAAAAAAATTTGTAGAAGAGGTTTAGCAGTCGTTTGCAACTGAAAATCAAGTATTTTCTTCACCTATAATATAGGATCATCTCATTTTTAGAGGACAGCTTAGAAATTTCTGGAAGGAACTGATCCACTTCGAGGCTCCACCACTAATTTTATCTATGGAAAAAAAAGTATCTTAACAAACAAAATTCTATGCATCCTGAGAAGCCAAAAGAAATATTTTCTATTTTAGTCGATATTCAAATGAGAATAGGCTGTGATAACTTGATAGTTATATGAGTCTAATGAGAGCTTGTTGTATAGGGTTGTGTTTAAAATTTCGATGAGTCCAGAGATAGTTATTTTATTTGGCATTTCTCTTTTTTTTTTTTTGAAAATAGTTTTAATATATTTGATCTATTCTATTCGAGACAATTTTTTAAATATTAAATTCTAAGATAACTCTTTTATTCTTGCTGTTTTTGTGATTATGATGTTCGTGCTATTCTAATTCCCATCTTTCATCTAATGTGTTCTAGGATTAAGTAAACGTGTGATTCAAGTATGGTTTCAAAATACTCGAGCTCGACAGAAGAAGGTACGGGATCGAAAACCTCAGCACGAACATCATCTTCATTCTCATTCGCATCATTGTTATATTCAGCAAGAAACAAATCATCGAAGACGAAATACACGTAGCAGTAGCAGCAGTTCAAGTTCCAACAAAAGTGGTGATAGTGCGTTATTTAATTTTGTTGTTGTTATTGTTCTCTTTTTTTTTTTTTGTTATTTTTTTCTTAAATATATATGAAATATATTTTGTATTTGATTTATTTCTTTTTTTACTCAATAGCCTTAACAAAAAGAACAACGCAAATATGGTTTCAAAATGCTCGTGCTCGAATGAAAAAAAAACCATGTGCAACAACAAGTTCACCACCTACATATGCAACATTAGCAAATAATAATAATAATCTTAATCTTGTCGATACACTTCGTTTATCAACAGGTAAATATAAAAGATTAAATATTAGTTTCTTTTTTTGTTATTGTTGTTTCTTACAAAATCTATTATTCATTTTTGTATTTTTAGAACAACAAATAGATCCAAAAACGAATCAACATATGAATCATTTACAATGGTCATCATCACAAACATCACCAGCATCATCATTGATTTACGATGGTGAAAATAGCAATGATGAATATTCTACTGGATATATCTAGAAATCTATCTGAGAATATGAATCACCTGTGTGTAATTGACAGATTGAAAGAGTGAGGGACAAGAGAAAAAACAGCGTTTTTTTTTTTTGTTGTTTCTTATCTAACAGTCATTATTTTTTGTTGTCATTGTATAAATCTCGATGTTTTAACCAGATAAGTCCAACATAAAGAAAAAAAAATATATCAGAAATGAATAGCAAAAAAAGTGCCGTTTGTTATTTATGCCGTACACCTGATTCTGAAATAATTCAATTTGCTGAAGAATTAGCACAAGATCCGCGATCAATTTCCAATATTGATGTTTATATTATGATCGATGACAATAATTTTCAGACACAACCAAATTCATTAATAAAATTTATACAAATAAATAACAATGAATGTATATCAAATGGTTATCATTCATCAAATAAAATTGATATGCATAAAGATTGTATAGCATGGGATAAAGTATTATATTATTTTTGTCAAGTAAAACAAAATGATTATTCATTTGTATGGTTAGTTGAAGATGATTCATTTATTCCATCAGTTGATGCATTTTTTTTCTTACATAATAAATATTCCAATGAAAATAATGGTGGTGATTTAATTTGTCAAAAAAATGATGAAAATTTATATGGTGATACATCAACATGGAAATGGGCTGATGTTCCTGGAAAATTTTCACCACCATGGTATCATTCAATGTGTTGTGCTATTGGTTGTAGTCGAAAATTATTAGATGCAATTGCTAATTATGTAAAACAAAGACATTCTATTCCATTTATTGAATATATGTTTAATACAATAGCTATGCAAAATCATTTGAAAGTTATTAATCCACCAGAGTTAAGTACAATTGTATATCGAGAAAATTGGACACCGGAACATGTTCGTCAAAGACCTAATAATTGGTTTCATCCTTTTAAAAATGAACACGTTAGACGAGAGATTCGTTCACAGTTAGTTTTTGAAATTTATTTATAGCTTGTTTTTTTGTTCGAATATTTTTTTTTTAGAATAGCAAATGCATGGAAGACGTCTTCACATAATGTTGAACATACAGGAAATATAGGTTACCAGGGATATACACAATATCAAGGACAAATGCCTCAATATCCATATTTTATGCCACCAACATATAATTCACCACCGAATAGTGGAAGTGTTCTTCCTCCACTCGTCTATCCTCCTAATATGCCTCCTCCTTATCCACCTCATTAATTCAAAATTTTCTGTTTTTTTTATAATATCATAAGAAATCAAAAATATATTCGTTACTTATTATAGAAACAGAAATCAGAATAAATAAAGATAAATAATAAGATTGTACTTTTAGTATTTTTATTTTA